TCTTGGTCACACAATAGGACGTAAGCCATAATGTGTACAATTATTTACATTTTATCTTTTAATCTGTCATTCTCTCTGATATCAATCAACAATAATTAATCTGTTGTCTTGTGTTATGGTCACACAAATAGTGGGTAAGTCATATAATAAGTACTACTGTATAAGTGGTTTTTTAGGGTTGCAAATTTTGCAAATTTAGTGGATTCCTTTCTGATTTGCAAAAATAAAATTTGCAAAAATTAATAAATTTAATACAGTACTCGCATGGCACATGTAGTAGAATTCGCAAAATTAAAATTTTGCGAATTAGAATTTTAGTAGATTTCACAAAATATAATTCCCTCAAAAAACCACTTATGTGGTATTATTAATTTTACATTTTATTTTTAATCTCTCTTTCTCACTAACAATAATAAAACTCTTGTCTTGGTCATGCAATAGACAGTAAGTCATTATGTGTACAATTTATATATTTTATCTTTAAATTTACCATTCTCTTACCAATATCTATTAACTGTACACAATAGTGGGTAAGTCATAATGTGTACTATTATCTACATTTTGTCTTTCTCTCTGATATCAATCAACAATAATTAAACTGTTGTCTTGGTCACACAATAGAATGTAAGTCATAATGTTTGCTATTATTTATATTTATCTTTCATTTGTCCAATAATCAAACTGGTATCTTTATCACACAATAGGGAGTAAGTGATAATATGTACTATTTTAACTTATTATTTTTTTATGATATCAATCAACAATAATTAAAATCATTTTTGTCACACAATAGCAAGTAAGTCATTATGTGTATTATTTTAGTAGGATTTGTATGTTTTAATTTGTCATTCTCTCTGATTATCAATCAACAATAATTAAACTGTTACTTCTTGACATAGCCAGTAAGTCATAACGTGTACTGTTATATATGTTTATTGTTTAATTTATCATTCTCTTACTGATATCTGTCAACGTTATCTTTGTCACACAATAGATTGTAAGTATATTAATACTTTTATTTACAATTTTTATACTTTAATTTAAAATTTTTAATCTTTTCTCTCTGATATCAATTAAACTATTGTATTCATCACACATAGACAGTAAGTCATAATGTGTCCTATTTTATCATTT